CCCGCCCACCGGCCCTGGCCACCCGGCCCAAAGTTACCACAAAGGGCTAGGAAGAGGATCCCGGAGCCGCGAGCCCGATGCGTCCCCGACCTCGTTAGGCTCCCCCGTCATCCCTCAAGCACTGCCATGGCAGTCGTCAACAGGTCTTCGCCTCCCTTCAGGCTGGAAGACTCCCGGTGCCTTTCACTGCCCTAATTTTTGCAACCTGCCCGCCGGCGGCAGCGGCAACGCGCAGCCCCGCGCCCTCCTTCCCAGGCACCCGCGGCGGGCGCTAACCACCGCCCACCTCCTCTCGGGATGTCAGTTTAAGAGAGACTGTGCGCTACCTGACGGGGAGGCTGGGCTTGCAGGCCGGGAAGACCCCCAGATAAATCGCGGTCTCTCTATACCTTACGGACAGATGCAGTCGGGTCAGGCTTCGGGCAGGGGCGTGGAGAGCTGCCGCGTCCTCGGAGCCGCGCGGGCTCCGCTCCTACGCGGCTGGGGCGCCGTTTCCGAGGCCGAGAGGGAAAGTTTTTCGACGTCAACACGGTGCTGGACTCGGGACCCTTCGGCCCGGGTCCCCTCCCTCTTCGCGCTCTCTGCCCCCTCCCTCCTCTTCCTAACCGGCTGAAGCTAAAACTGGCGGCGGCTGGGGCTCGAGGCTTGGGACTCCGGGTCGCTCCCGGCTGGAAACGCCGGGCTCCCCCTCTCGGCCAGAAGGGAACTCTCAGACTCCGGCTGGCGCGCTTCTGGCGGTCTCCTTGGACACTTCCAAACGGGACGCCTGTGTGCGAGCTCTCGGACTTGCTTCAGACTCTGATGGTCGTTTCCTATGGGCCCACTGGGCTGTCTGGTGTTTGCAGGCGGGACCTAAGGGAGAGAGTGAAATGGGAGAGAAACCCGACTGTAGAAGGAGAGGCCTTACCTTAGCCGGTATTTGGCCGGTATAGAAGCAAAAACACAGTGCCCCCACCCCCATCCTCGTCCCCCGCCAGGTTTCCTTTTGAACCTCCTCCCTAAAGCCTTAGATGGGGACTATTTGCCTTCCCTAATCTCTCTGTGTTTCCTAACACAATTTTAAAACACCTCTGAGGCTTAATAAGAAAAAAAAGTGCCAAAAGAAGCACACACACAAGAATACGAGTAGAACGTGCTTTCTTTACAACATTTATCAGCAAAGCATTGCACAGTTGGTGCTGCTGTCCCGACGGTACCCGCACAGACATTTTTCATTTTTCCTAATTTTTTAACTCCGCCTGAATCTCCTCACTTTACTATGCCTTAGGAAAGAAAAAGAAAGAAGACTGCTTCAACCACCAGATCATGCTCACTTGCTTCATTCATGTGTGCACATCAGAATTCAGAACTTCTGTGTAGGGTTTAAGGGAAAACACAACAAACCATTCTTACCCTGGTAAACCTTTGTGTGGGAGGAAGGATGAGGAGGAGGAGTATCCTCATATAAATCATTCTTAAAGGGGGGCGCCTGGGTGGCTCAGATGGTTAAGCGTCTGCCTTCGGCTCAGGTCATGATCCTGGAGTCCCGGGGTCGAGTCCCGGGGTCGAGTCCCGGGGTCGAGTCCCGCATCGGGCTCCCTGCTCAGCGGGGAGTCCGCTTCTCCTCCCCCTGACCCTCCTCCCTCTCCTGCTCTCTGTCTCTTGTTCTCTCTCTCTCAAATAAATAAATAAAATCTTAAAAAAAAAAAAAAATTCTTAAAGGATGTGAGGACCTTAACATTTTTCGAGATGCTGCTCAATTTAGTTTGCTAGATTTTCATTTGAATGTGAAAATAGATGGATAAAGAAAAATAAAGCATTTTGTAAGGCTAGCAAATATATGTGTGTTGCAGTGGAATGAAGGGCTTAGACTCAGACAATCCAGATCCCTTTCCAGACTCCATACTTACTCATTCTGCGCCCTAGGACACTCAACACAATTACAACTAACAAAAGGAATTATATAATCAAACTCACAGAGTCACGGTCACATTTGCAGGGGTTAAAATAGAGTAGTGTCAGGCACAGAGAAGGCACTCAATAAATATTTGGTTCTTACATCCCACTATATTTAACTATAATTAAGAAAAGATGGTACTGAAGATATCCCCCAAGGACCTTGTTAACTGAACCAATTTTCTTCTCCCTGATGCTTTTTCCATTAAAAAAGATATAGCTTGCAGTTTTTGAAATGGAAACTAAATTTAGGGATCACCTAGCTCTAGTCAGACTCTCTCATTTTAAATACAAGGTAACTAAAGTCCTAGAATCTTAATTGACTTACCCCAAATCTCATGATTAGGAAGTGCTAAATAAAGCTAGGACCAGAAATCAGGCCTCTTCATACTTGGTCAGGGTCCTCTTTTAACTGTGTTTTCTCTTTTATCACAACAGTCAAACACACAGTAAATAATTTTATTAAAAACTATCTAAGGGCAATGCTAATTGCTTTTTCTATAAATAACCTCAATTTAAATTGTTTCTAAATAATTGTAAGTAAACAATTAATTTATAACCACTATAGCCACTATAAACAATAAAGATTATGACAATAAATCAAGTGCTAGCCCAGTACTTAGGAATAAGGAGGTTGACTACCTATCCAAATTTGTGCTTATATCATGTCATTATAAATATACAGATCTTCTCTCTTAACACAGTATCTTAAAACTCTGATAGAGAATTCTAGATTCCCAAGAATACATCAACAAACCACTAGAATCTGCTGACCCTGTTTTGAGGAGCACTAGATCAGCCTTCAATATATTACAGCTTCACTTGAACAAGTGCAGGGCATAAGAACAAATCAGGCTGCAGAGATCAAACATTATAAGCACTGCCCTATGAATTAATGGACAACCTCATAATGTGTACTTCTTACTCATTTACTCCTGATGGCTTTGAAGAGAAGTTCTTCCAAACCCTTTCTCCCCTTAGTCAATGTTGAAGGTCACGTGGACTTTTACACAACTCCCAGGTTCTCAGAGATAAGACTTTATATTCTCCTTCTGAGTAGGGATTCTCTACTACTCCAGCTTCCCCCTAAATTAGCCACTAAAATAATTTCTTGAAGACATTTGATAGCCTTCTCTATGCTCCCTTTCCACGAGACTTGGAAGTTGCCAAAAAAAGAGAAAAAAATTAACTGTAAAGTGCATCCATCATGGATGGGTGAATGGGGATGCATGAATCCCCATAACTGTCTTTTTCCAATCATTGCATACAGTGCTAAAAAATTATTCATTTTTACATTTTCTCCCAATGTTTAAATTCTCTAAACTTGCTATTGCTTTGTAATTTTTGTAACCTGACTTTTGATATGAAATGTTTTATGAAATGGCTTAGAGGTGTAAAAATCTCAAGGATGTCAAGAACGAAATTTTCAAAAACACTACAACCAAATAGAACAAGATTTTAAATCTGATCTATTAAAGAAAAGCAATGCCACGGAGGGCTTCAGAGGCCCTGGCAGGGCACTACCATTACAATGTGCCTAATTCTACCCACTGCAAATACTCAGATTTCTATTTGAAAATTCTTCACATTCATCACTGTGCAAAGAGAGCACCGTTAGAATAATTTTTAAACTAATTTTATGGCTCAAGCCAGTTTGAAGTTTCTATTACTTGAACTGAAAGAACCTTGACAAGGACAAAAAAAAAAAAAAAAACAACCTACGTGTTTTTTATGTTGAGAATAACAATTTTATTGTTGATTATTACAAAAATACACAAAAACGGAGTGCCTGGGTGGCACAGTCGGTTAAGCATCCAAATCTTGGTTTTTGCTCAGGTCGTGATCTCAGGGTCCTGAGATCAAGCCCCGCGTCAGCTCCACACTCAGCATGGAGTCGGCTTCTGATTCTCTCTCCTTCTCCCTCTGCCCACCGCCCCCCCCCCAATTCATGTTCTTCTCTCTAAGATAAATAAATCTTTTTAAAAAATACACAAAAAACACGCTGGTTGTTTAGCTCTATATTACTGCAAACCCATCATTTAGAGTATTTGACAAATTTTTTTTAAAGACAATAAAAACCAAGACGTAATTCAAAATCTCAGTTACGTGACTTGAAAAGGGAGCATGTATGTTTTGCAAGTTGAAACCGCAGTCAAATTCTATTCATTGAGTTCCTAGGGGATCTGGGTTACAAAATTAATGTGTTACATTTACTTTCTCATTTCCATCCTTCTATCTCTTATTCTGTTTTTGTCCTCCAGATTAAGAATATGAAACTCAGTGAAAAAAAAAAAATGAATAGGGCCAGTGCAAAAAAGAAATAAATATCACCTGTATTTTCACCACCAAGAGTACCCATTGCTAACATTTGCTCTGTGCCCTCCAAGGATCATTGAGGTCCCTGAGAGACTTACTCTCCAATAAATAACATCCCTTCTCAATGCCTGGGCTGGGAATAAATTGAGAAATAAAACAAAAGTTTAAAACAGAAGCTAAAATATTGCCTGTATTATTGACAGACACTTGGTTTGAGTTGGTGCATCTAAAACTGAACAATCAAAATAGTAGTTTCAGTCACACGGTTCCTGGTCCCCCTACCTAGGAGGAGATGTCTTTTGAAAAAGGAGTTAAATTCTGTTTCCTGAGATCTATGAGAGAGAGAAAGAGACAGACAGATTGAGAGAGAGAGAGATGGAGGCAAAGACAGAGATACAGAGAGAGACAGAGAAAGAGATAAGGGTGTAGCTGAACTCTGCACAGCCAGTAATTCTTTCCAAGTTTATTCCTAAATATATTTATCAAATACGTTGCAACACCACTCCAAGAGCAAATGAGTAAAGACCCAGAAAAAATATATTTTTTTAAAGATTTTATTTATTTATTTGAGAGAGAATGAGAGAGAGAGAGCACATGAGAGGGGGGAGGGTCAGAGGGAGAAGCAGACTCCCTGCTGAGCAGGGAGCCTGATGCGGGACTCCATCCCGGGACTCCAGGATCATGACCCGAGCCTAAGGCAGTCACTTAACCAACTGAGCCACCCAGGCGCCCCAGAAAAAATATTTTAGCAAGGAAATCGAGAGCCAAGAAAAGGCATTACCCAGTACCTATAGCCACTTTTTTTCCTTTTCTCACAGGAAAGTAAATTGTACATACTCACTACTTAGTAATAATATAACAGTATATCATAGGCTTGTCCCCTCCCTATGTTTATTAATATTTTTTTTCCATTATAAGCAAACTATGGCCATCTGGACAAATATTTATGTTAGACTCAGGTTACGAATCTTTGGGTAAAACATGAAAGTGTAATACTATGTTCTTTTTTTTTATCCTATCATATTTCACCCAATTTTGATGTGTCCCATTATGGATCATCCTCACTTGGTTAAGGTGATGGTCCCTGTCAGGCATCTCCTCTATAACATTCTTCTCTTTCCCTTTATAATTGGTAGGTATTTTCTGAAGAAGTACTTTGAAACTATGTAAATATTTCATTCCTCATCAAACTTTCAATTCATTCATTTATTTATTTATAGTAATAACAGTTTATAATCTGTTATTTTCATGATTTATTTTGAGATTCACATTGTGTCAGATTTGGCCAAAGTGAGTCCTTTCAAGCTAACTTCTGTGTCCCATAGCCATGTCTCCATCGTCCAGGAGCACTTCCTCACTTCTGGGCACAAAAAGGTATTCAAGTCTCATTTTACATTTTCCCGGCCCCAGCTCTAGAATCAGCCATTTCTCGAAAGAAGACAGTCCCTTTCACTGAAGGATGATATTTACAATCTGAGCTCCAGGTGCTGTGTCATTGCAATTAGGCTTTTTGCTTTACTTAGTCCCTTTCAGTAGCCAAAACCAGGGAATACATGTATACATTTATATATTTTATTCCCTCTCCCTCTGAATCTTTCATTTTGAAAATCTTGAGCTCATGCACTTA